AATACATAAGAAACACAAAAACAAAAACTGCAATATAGACGAAAATAAAACGGAAAAAATGTACAGTTTATTTTTCATCTTTCTCCACTAGGTGGCAGACTATGAGCAATACTGATCCCCAACAGAGGCGGCGAGGTCGGTTAAGGAGACTTCCCTCCGTCAAGCGACCATTTTCCATCGTCCTCTCACGTGAACGGAATCAATAAACTACGGCACAATCAGCGCACGTGTACAACGTCTTCTTTTGCTGGCAGTTAAGGGTTAACTGCGAGAATCATCCCTGGATAACTGAGATCGTCTCAGCTCCTGGCTTCCTGCACCAGAACAGCTCCAAAGCCCAAATATAAATAAATAAATAGGTTTTAAAAATACGAACACCCAATCACATGGAAAGGCTTGAAAAGTCAACTGGAATTTATTAGGTCAAACACCCTAAACAAAGCCCTGCATCTCTTTGGAGTACTGTCTGAGTTCAGTTAATATCCCCTAACCACTCACCTGTTTTTTGTGAAAATCACGACCCCTTCCTTTGGAAAGCCTGCTCCACCTTAAACCGCATAGGGCGAGCCAGGTACTAACATGGCCTCTTGCTCCACAAATAAACAAAGGGACGTGCAGAACACAAAGGAGCGATACCACTGAGTCAGACGCAGGCAAACATCCCGGGGTGTCCTGAGGAAGTGATATTTCACTGATACAAGACATGCAGCCTGCAAGGACCCTTCCAAAACCCTGGACATGCGACTGCAGCTGAGAGCTCGGAGGCTCCGCATCAAGTGTCCCATATTCAAATTGACATTTTAACTTTATCACAACATTCATATATCAAACATTTATCAGCCATATTTGAAATTAGTCATCAACAAAGGCAGCAGTGCCATTCTAGGAAATAGGTGAACTTTGGTCCTGGGCTGTAATGCACAATATAGAGCAATTAATCATTAATGCTGTAAATTCTGCCCGATAATGGCCAGCAGGCACAACACCCCGGAGCCTTCTACTGCCATATGGTTGAATCGAAATGAGGCTTGGCTCGGTTACCTCTTGGATGGAAGGCATTCTCGGAAAACCAGATTGTGGCTGGAAAATGGTGCTGGTGGATCAATAGGGGGCAGTCTTCCCTTTATTTCTAAGGAAACTTGAAAAAGGACACTGTGCTGTAGGAGAGGTCGTCCTGACTCCCTGTGTTCATTACAGATTCCATATCACTTCTTGCAAATAGCAGGGGATGATGCAGTTTCCCAGCCAGACACCCAACCTGCCTCTGTAAAATCAAAATGTTTAAATTATCTCTCCAATCTATCTGGCAAAATAAATTTCAGACACTCCACATCAATTAGAATATAGCTTCTGTGTACACCCCCCAACACACACACACACACAAAGACCAGCTGGTGTATGCAAAAGCCTTAAAAAGGTGCTGTACAATCTACCTTAAGTCCTGGATATATGCGTTGTGGTTCCAGAGTTTTTGCCATTCCAGAATACAACAGGTTTTTTCCTAGGACAAGACTATCCACCTATGCTTCTAAGTAATAAAAGAGGATTATGTCAAGGAAGTTTAAATAAGCTCTCCATGAATAGGGATGTCAACCACTAAAAAGGTGATTGCATTGTACTTAATGTTGACATGTTTGTGGCAACTGTGGAATGTTCAAAAACAAGGCTGACTGTATGGTGTAATCTAAACGGTCCTCCATCAAGCATATGGACAGAGAAAGACTGATTATTAGCCATGCCAACCAATCAAGTCCAACCACTCCTCCCCAGGCTAATCAGAAGCCATGGGCATTTTTTCATAATCACGGCGCAGGGCCATTGCACCTTAATAACGGCAATAAATGCATACAGGATGGGTCAGTCAGCCTGAGAAAAGACTTCAGCGCGGCTGGTTTCATCTAGGCCAGCCATCAAATCTGTACTTTAAACCTGTTATTTATAACCAAAGGCCTAATAGTTCACCACCTGAGGCGAAAGATAAGACGGGTGAGGAGAAAAGCACTCATCAGAGCCAGTGCTGCACGTCTTACTGGGAGCCTTTTCACATTATTCCCACGGCATTCAAATGTTCAGCTGTTTGCACTCAGAATGTGGAAACCCATGCGATTCAGATGCATTTGATCACTATCCCTTTCTCAGAGACGCTTGCGCAATTTATAGCTGGGTACACTGGGAACGGAGAGAAAAAGTCTTGATGCAGAAACTAGAGCATCAGATGTTCTCTTAAGGTTTATTTCCCCTCAAATTCTCCCAATGGAAAGTACAAAGGTGCATATATTGCTTTGTGCTACTATGAAATTGGCAAACCAAACATCAATTCTGAGCACACCTACGTACACATATGCACATGAGACATACGCACAATTTACCAAACAAGAACAGAGCGCCATCGGTGGTGGGTTGTCTCTGCTTTCTTTAAAGAGGACCTAGCTGTAATGGAGTATGGAATATTGAATTTAAAGAGGACAAATGACATGCTTTTTTCAGGCTCATTATGAATTAGTGATGCTGGCAATGTGTAACCACACTGTGGGTCTCATGAAACTGGGACAATCTACAATGAAAACACATTAATCAAGTCAAAGCCTTCCCCTGATTCACAACGTAAACTGCATCACACTTTTTCATTGAACAGACTTCAGCTGATAACAATACTGATTTCCCATTTTAGCGTAAAGGATTACAATGTGTGTCTGTTAGCTGTGGCTGTGCGTTTGAGTGTATATGAATGGTCAGTGTTGATTTTGGAAGGTTAAGGATGCGTATCCAATGTTACACCTAAAAATACACTTTTGCTGAAACCTTTTTGGTCATTCATACATGGAAAATAAATTGACTTGAATTTGCCACTGTGATAGTGGTTGGAAAACAGTCATTTAATATTTAGGATGCAATTAATATAAAAATAAATAGAGATGTTTCTATCTTCATATTGTTTTGATGTTTCTATATTCATATTTCAAGATATAATAGATGTTGATGGCTGAAGGCCTCATAAGTCTTCTATTTTTATAGATAGACTAACATTTTTGCACAAAATTACCAACAAACACATTGAGGTCCTATGAGCTTACCTCCAACTGGTAAATAAAAGTGTGATAAAACAGACTACATTTTCTGCTGTTCTATGTGAAAAAAACATGACAAAGGGCCCAGATAAGTTGTACCCACTCTAATATTAGAGTAAAAGATAGTGTGTCTACATCATGATACATGCGCATGAACACGTGCTGTAAGCTCTCCCATACAGAACTTACGGCTGGGAGCTGTGGTCTTCCAGCACCTGTTTAGGCAAAAAGACAAGCACTTAAATCAAGATTTGTCTCCGTGAATATGAGCATATGAGCCTCTATGTTTATCTTCATACACAGATAGTAAAGAGCTAACTAATGAAAAACCCTGAACCATGGATACGATGAGTTGTGCGCCCTAGTAAAAGGGCATTTATGACGCTGTCAATGCAGCCCACTGTGTTGTGCAGGAACAGGGGTTTTAAATCCAAGTGGAGATCCCACGACAGCTTTGAAAAATGACCAGTAAGTAACAAATGGCCAGACATTTAACAGAACGTATTCTGAACCACACTGAGGTACAGAGCAGTGGTGGTGCACACTATACAGAAAGTACTCCTAAGATAGAAACTTAATATGTAATTTGTTTGATAATTGACATATATTTAGGCATCAGATTTACTATATCCTTGTGCGAATGTTCACTGCTGTGGTTCTGGGTGAATCCTGGATGGAGGAGCAGAAGCGTACTCTATAGGTGTCCCGTCTCATCTCCTTAATCCTCCCAAGCCTATGTGAGTCAGTCCAACTCTGAGAAGCCCATGCTTAAACTCTCACAGGGCCTCTTACATAACAGAAGTGACAGGTATGTCACTGACAAGCGTATCATTGCTTGCATAGGTAATTTTGAAGAAAGAGAACTTGAGAAACATGATGGACCCTCACAAGAAGTAACATGCTAGCCTTCCTCACATCTAACGCTGCCTTCTCACACTTAATTACTGTTTAATCACAGAAAGCTATCTGTGGCACAGGTAAATGACAAACACCAAGTGGCACACCAAATCCAACAGCTGGTCTGGGGTTGTATCTCTGAATGAAGAGCCATAGAAACAGCAACGGGCACTGAGAATTTGAGGGTTCAATAACAGTATCCATTCCAAGCACATGAATGGGTTTGTGCATTAGTGCGTGCAGGATGGCAGTGATGGGTCAAGAAGGATGTGTTCCTTCATCAAATGATAACAGGAAATATATGAGACAGTGGGCTGTGCTTGGTTGTGAGAGGAAACTAAGTTAAGGCACAAGGTGAGAAAGCAGTTCATACAGAGAACAGAGAGAATAATGTAGTGTAAGGTGAGACACAGGGGCAGATGGGGAAAGGGGGGAACGATGAGAGAAGTATGAGTTATGATTATGTGATGAAATGGGCAGAGGTAGGGGTCAAGGTAAAAAAAAAAAAACAAGGGAAGACAAAAATATGATAAGAGGTAAGTGTTGAGACGTAAATGATGGAGAAGGAGGGGGTGACCAGGTGTGCGAACAGCTTCCGTAGAAATCCATCTCCCTTGGCAATCGGTGCTTCACAGCATGTCTCTGTGTACGAGAGTATAATATGAGGGTGAAGACAAACAGTTTTATTGAGACTGGTACACAATCTGGCGTCTTTTATAACAGGGAAATTTATCAGCAGCACACAGGCATTCGCTTTATAGCCCCTGTAACCTTTGCCCCTTTCCTGTCTCCTGCTCCTCCTCTCCTTTCTCTCCAACCCACCATACTTCTGGCGCATTGCTTGTGTCTCACCCATTCAGTGCCCACAATCACTTTGGCCTGAGGTCCAATGCTCATCACAGAAAGCTACATCTTAGCCTTTCCTTGTTATTAATATTATTATAGTTCTTCTCTTTCTCTCTCACACAGTCACCTACACATTCACACACACAGACCTTAGCCCCGTGTGTGTGTGTATATGTGCGATCTGTGCAGGCAGCAGTGAAGCACAGTGGTAAGGCACAGGGCTCATAACCGAAAGGTTCCTGGTTCGATTCCCCGCTGGGGCACCATTACTGAAGGCTTGGGTAAAGTACTTAACCCAGAATTGCCTCACTAAATATCCAGCTGTATAAATGGATAACGTTGTAAAACGAGTCACTAAGTCGATCTGGATAAGTGTGTATTAGTGTAGTAGTGTATAATAATATAACATTTATATACACTACTACACTAATGTGAATTCAGTAACACAGCAAAGCATCTGAAATGCCACCTCAATGAAAGCCTACACAGAGCATAGAATATTGAGAAACTAGAATTGCTAAGGACTAAAGTGACTGTGATCACTACAGTGCCTTGCCATTCACCTGCTTTCTTGTGTCACCATCTCCCCATGGCTCTTTCTCTGAAGCCAGCTTTTTCCCGTGTTTCAGTCATGCCATTCAGCGCCAACACTGGCCAAACAGAACACTTCCTGTTTACATACGTACTGTTCCAGAACATCTAAATGTTTCTGTTGCAGCAACTCCAAACGATGCCAATGAGCCATGGATTTAAGTGGCCCCACTATCTCTTTCGCTCAGTGACACATTTGCCCCCTGCCGTGAGCAAGCTCAATGTTCAAGTCCCATTTTCCCTCCATATTTTGAGTTTTGAGCAGATGCGTAGTTCTGCATTGAAACATTTTTGATCATTCCCATTGCTACTGTTCACCGATCCACACTGCCACCCACACGTCCATTTACCAAAATCTGGATTTCAAGACCAATTTAAAATATCATATGTTCCTAATATATCATACTGTCCTTTTATTCACATTTGGATAGTGATTATTAAATGTGCCAGGAAAATGACTCATAGAATTCTGAATATGTGCTTTTGTTTGTCTTGTGTATAAGGCTTTGTCAATTGCAGTTAAGAGTGCCTGCATCTGTCCTAAAGCAGTCTGCTAAGACTCTCCCACACCCTCAGTTATTTAGCATAATACACAGCTCTTGCCACTCCATACCACATTTTCTGAACAAGACTAACACTAGGCAAATTTAAGTCCTCCATCTTTGAGACTTTTCCTTACACATATGACATGCTGATGAAGCCAAACCCAGTTATAGTCATTTTGCTTACTTGAGAATATAAGAGGATTAATGCAGAAAATAAAGCCTTTAATCCTTCATCCTCCATCCCCCTACTTCGTAGTCTTGCAAAGTCATGTTTTCTTTCCCCTTTTTTTCTTTTCCCACCCTGTTTAAATTTAGTAGGCCAACTAAAAATGTCACATGTATCAAAAACACATAAATGAAATACAGCACTTGTTAGTCTTTAATATGTTACTATTTGATTGTCTTTGTTCTTGTATTTGGCCTTTTTTTGTATAATTGTGTGTTATTTTTAGTACTTTTCCTCCTGGACTTTGACATTTGTATTGTGGACTTTGTACTGCACTTAATGTTCTGTAAATCTCCGTGCGTAACGCCTTAAGTTAAATAAATCTATAATTTTATCATTGTATTGCGTATTGACTCTCCGGAACAACAAGTACAACATCAGCGTGTACGGCAGCGTTAACTTTACTGAAATGTGCATTAGTTTGCACAGACATTGAAGCATGCTAGAATATGTTGACTAAGTACACCCCCTCCTTGTACTCTTGGTCTCGGTTGTTCATTAACGCGGAGAAAGGAAAGGGTGGCAGTCTGAGGAGGAACAAACCAGAGGTGCGAATTAACACGTATTCTCTCCCGTTGTTTTTGCTAAAATAGTGTTGGTGCTAATTTACGGGTTTATGTATACGATAATATACTGTTAAATAGATTTGTTGCTATCCCAGTGGAAGTGAAAGAGTGAACTGGAGTTGGAGTTTCATCTTGGATTTTCCTCTTTCTAAATGGAGTTGTTTCTCACTGGATCTGAATACCAAATTGTAATTGGGGATTATCGAAAACTAATTTTGGAGGATTTTTTGTAGTGGTTCAGACATCCGACATGTGGATTACTGTGCGTTTCTTTCAATGATTAATGCATGTTCATATTTTCCTTTTCACAAACAGTTTAACCGGAGGACAGAAATGGTACGGTTTAAAATAAATCGTCTATCAAAAAGAGTATGTTTCTCGTAAAAAGTGACTGAAAATAATCGATTTTAAAAGAGTAATGACTTTTAAAAGAGTATTTTAAATGACGTGCGATATCTGCTGTTGATCTACAGTTACCAAGGAATACATTTGCTGACATAAATTGTAGTTTCTGCCGTCCTTAACATAGTCTGTCACTCCTCACAAAACCACCATACTGAACAAACATATCTAAGAAAAGATTCAACGACGCCTCACACGTCGTGCGCTCGGAAAACTGGCGGAAGCTCCGGGGCTTGTTTTTGACAAGCATTCTTGAAAAATAAAAGGAAGTAACAGACTGGACTGGTTGACAGATTGAGGAAAAAATAAATTTCTCCAAAATGAGCAGCGATCGCTGGTGGTCGCTCACGTGCTTTCTGGTGCTGGTTGCTGTCCGAAGTGTTTTGGTGACCGCGTCGTGCCTGGATGGACCATATTTACTCAACGTGGTGCTCTTGGAAGACGATACCTCACCGTGGAGTATGAAACGTGTGGAACCGGCCGTAAGAAATGCAATTGATTACGACTACGAACTAAACGGTGCAATAGGTAACATCCGCCGTTTTATTTTTTTTACCCGATACAGTGTACAGGCGGATTAACTAATGCGATGCAGAAATATAATCGTAGCTATGGGTATTAGGTAATTATTTTCTGCATTGTCTTCTGTGATTCCCATAAAAGAAAGAATAATAGTTAGATTTGAATATATTTAACACCACAAAGGCCACATTGATTATGTTATAAACTAGTTATTATGATTTTGTCATTTTAGGCCATTTGGTGATTGATCTCATGATATGACTTCGTTCAGCTCTGTGGTGTTTGACAATTCAATGCACGTGCCTCAACACCAATCCACCAGTTGCCGACAGTTTGTTAACTCTTTCCGTCCCGGTGCCCCGCCTACCTGTTACTTATGCTTTCAGGTGCGGGCCGTAATCTGACCGCCAATTACTGTGGGTTCAGAACCAATCTGTACCGACGAAAAGGCTGTCGGAGCAGTACCTGTGAAGGGGTGGAGACAGTGAACTCCCTAAGTGTGAGTACAGGTCCCCAACTCTTATTGCCTATTTGCTATTAGCTGTACAGTGCCTGGGCCAGTCAGTAAAAGGTGCGCTTTTTTAGGCGCTGGCTTAGCCAATGACACGAGGAGCAATTTCATACAGGGGCAAGTCAATACCCACCCTCTGCTGACCACGGCATGTTGACCGTTGCATTTATATAATGCTTTCTGAGGATCTCAAAGCACTTTACATTGAAATGGCTGGATTGAGTCCATTGGTTAAACATTGGGACTGTGATGGTGAGACTAAGATGTTTTTGGGAAATATACTAAGTTTAGAAGCAGCCCAGAATGGCTCACAGGTCTTTTGGGTAAAACTCTGATGAATGAAATCTTGTGGACCTAGCCCAGCGCCTGTCAGAGCCTGGATTTACTTCATAGCATTCTTGTCCAGTCCAGCTTAGTCTGCCCTGTCTGGTCCACCGAGTCAAAATGAGTCAAATTATATTGCTATAAATGAAAACAGTAACAGGATATATATGCAGCTGTCCATCTCTGTGCCTGCTCCTGTCTCTGTGTAGTCTTCACCCTCAACCCCCTCACTGTGTGTTTCAGAAAAAGCAGGAGTTAGGATGCGCTCTGCTTGGACCAACCTGCACATACGCAACTTTCCAGATGGTGGAGTGAGTATGGGAGTATGGGACCACTGACATCTCTCTCTCTCTGTCACTGCTGTTCCCATCCCTGTTATCTGTGTCACTGTTTCACAGCGATTCACACGCCCTTACCTGTTTTCCTGTTTCACCATTATTCCTACTCTTTTCTCTGTTTCTCTGTTTCTTGGCTCTGTATCTCTGTTTCACTCCGAATCCCATACCTTTACCTGCATCTGTATTTCACTGCTGTGCCCGCAGTTCTATTCACTACACTACACTATTCTCACAATACAGACAGTGCAATGAATGCAGTTGAATAAAATATGAACAGTATGCATGTGTGCATATAGGGGTGTGTAGTGATATATGTATATGAGTAAATGTATGTATAATTCCTTGTTTCTGTCTCAGTCTGGAGGTTGGATTGACTCTGAACATGCCCATAATCTCCGCCGGTAGCTTTGGGTTGTCATGCGACTTCAAGGACAACCTTACCCGCCTGCTGCCCCCTGCGCGTAAAATCTCCAACTTCTTTGTTCACTTTTGGGAGTTCACCAACGACAACGTGAAGCCAGTAAAATGGGAGAACGCATTTGTCTATAAGAATGCAGAGATCTCAGAGGACTGCTTCTGGTGAGTTTATTACACATGCATACACACACACACATACCTTGCAATAGTGGAAGAAGTTTGAGTAATCTCATGGTGTCATATAATCAAGGTTGTTGGGGTAGGAAGCACTGCAAGTACATTTTACCAGCTGGAAAGCAGAGCTGCTTGAAGTCTGTCAGTATGTGCAGAGTGATGTTCCATATGTGCTGGTGGTCACTCCACTGCCTCCATCTCTACCCCCCCCCCCCCCCCCAATTCTTAGGTACGTCAATGCTCTGGAGGCAGGATCGGCCCACTTTGCTGCAGCAGTTAAGAGGCAGGTTCTGCGAAGCACAGAGGCCCTTCACTCTGCCTTAAATGACACAGCAAGACACAGCAATGGTACGTCCCATGAGTGCCCATCAGTGCTCCTTACCACTGTGCTACACTAGCACCCCTAAGAGACACCTACACATTTCTGTCTTTCTCACTGCTCTGTCCCTGTGTTCTCACCTGTCTGTTGGTGAGACTCATTGTTGGTTTAACTCAACACTCATATACATTTAATTCACACCTTGTCTGTACCTGATGAGGGGTCCTACATTCCCTTCCCTTCTCTGCTCCTTACCCACAATGCTATACTGCTGCGTGATATTCCTTAAGGCAAAGGGAGTTAGCAGTTAGACTGCGGCAGTGTACGGTGTGTGAGTGACAGGATGTGTGTACGCTGCTTGAACACAACAGGATGTGTTTGCTCATACTACACCTGTTCAACTGCTGATACACGCATTCATGCTAGAGCAGAATTTCACTTCACAGAGTTACACGCCTTCTCTCTCTCTCCCTCTCCCTCTCTCACTTACACACTTATGAAACAGACATATCCACTTATCAAACAGATATTAGATGTTCAGAAATGATTTTCGTTTCTTTTTGTGTGCAGTGTTTATTCTCTGTGGCAGCCCAGAAGACATTTTCAATCTGACCAAGGATGTTGAGATAGCCCCTGAGATTGTCTTCATTCTGATTGACCTTTACAAGTCAGTCCACTTCTTCTTTTGTTTGTCATTTGTTTTTATTTAATTGCAAGCCATGATGTTGCTACTTGTAATGATAAAGACGGTAATAATAATAAATGGATTATTGTCATTTAGAAGATGCTGTTTTCCAGAGTGACTTGCATAGGTTACAGTTCTTACATTTTAACCTACATTTTAAGCCCTGCTCCTTACCACTACAGCACACTGATGCCCTGTTAATAAAAATAGTAAAAAGAAGAATGAACTATAACCACACTGTATTTCCCCCTCACCAGCCATGGGTATTACTCCAACATCACATCCAACACTACCATGAGCAACGTTCTCGTGCTGACCATGCCCGAGAGAAAGAACATAAGTGACTTCGAGCACATTGACAACACCACGGTGAGCTGCCTTTGTGCTATCCATCTTTCCCTCCCTCTCTCTCTCAGCTGCGTCAACACTCTCTCCCTTTTCTGCCACTTCTAAGGTTTTGAGTGACCCTTGTCATTGTCTATTACCTGTCAGACACAGTAAACCGTATGCAGAAAAAATCGACCATCCACAAGCATACTGTATTTGAAATATAACCTGAGTTACTATGTTTAGACTTTTTAATGGCAAATACTGTATGGGTGCGGTTGTAAGGACATGTACGGCATGTTGAGCAATCACTGACCACACAGGGACAAAAGGCTGAAGGTTATTCAAACTTGTAGTTACACAGAACCCAAAAGTATCTGCCAAAAAGCTAAACATTTCAGCTGGCTAACACTGTATAAGACCTAAAAACTAAAATGTTTGTTGTTTATTGCACTGAAGGAAGTGCAGGCCTCTTTGCTTTTTGAGCTGGTGATGGGAACTATCAACATGCATTGGTTGCTGGTGATTCATAATTTCCTATTGGGCTGCAGGAATGAACAAAGAACCGGTCCCATGCTGGGATTGGCATGTCTGGTCCTAAGCTTTCCGCCACACATGTTTTTCTCTGCAGTCAGGAATAAGTTGGTGCAGATCTGTGGTTGATTCTGTGAAAGCAGTGCACTTTGGGGTCCTGTGTTAGTCTCATTCTGATCTAAGGCGTTAACTTGGTGCCCTCATAGTGGTTGGCATTAAGTGGAATGTGTGCTCTCCTTATGCTACCCAGTAAGGTGGTTTGCACTGAAATTTACTGGGCGTATTTTGCAGCTCAGAGGCTGCTGATGCACTAACACCAATAGAGTTTTCTGGTACTGCCAACACCTGCCTACATAACGTGTCTTTTGGCTAAAAAAGGTAAAATAGCTTGACTACTCCCCATAACATGTGGATTTTCTAGCTAAGCGCATGAATAAGGATGGAATCCTTTTCTGTTATTCCTTTTACAGAGGAAGTACAACAAAGAGATCTGCTCTGAGGGTAGAGACCGTGTGAGCAGTGGCAGACTAGCTCTCTCCTAACATGTCTTTCTGGTCTCTGAGCTCTGCTGTAGCTCTGCTCTGCGCACTTTACATTACATTACATTAATGTTTGCATTATGTTTTCTTAGCAGACGCTGTTATTCAGTAAGGCTTACATATCTTACCATTTTTATGTGCTTTACATGTTATCCATTTATACAGCTGGCTATTTACTGAGGCAGTTTCAGTTGAGAACCTTGCCCAAGGGTACAACAGCAGTTGCCCTCCTGGGAATTGAAAGGGCAGCATTGGGGTGACTAGCCTTACCTTTAATGCCACACTAGTCACCGCACAGTCACACTTTGTCTCCCCTCTTGCCCCCGTTTTCCCCTGTCTCCCCTCTCCTGCTTCGTGCAGATGGCAGGGATAAATGACTACGTGGCGGCGTATTACGACGGGGCTCTGCTGTTCGGTCACGTCATGCGGAAGGTGTGGAAGGAGAAGCCGCACCTGTCTGGCCTGGAGTCCGTGCACAGCAACCACTTCAGGAACATCTCCTTCGACGGTAAGGCCGAGCGCAAAGACGCGCTGCAAGGCCGCAGAGTTGCCGGCGGCCGCTGCGCGCCACAGCTTCTGAGAGCTGACTGGTGGAGCCGGCAGTGTGTCGCTGTGTGTCGTAATGAGCATGCTTGTCTTGGTGCATGTGTTTCTTCACATTCTGGCGGACCAGTCTGTCTCTCCTTGGCAGTGTGATCAGGTACACACGAGACCAGAGACTGTACTGGAATGAGACAGATGCAGTTTTACAGTGATACAGCGGACTGTGTGGCGAGGTGTTTAAAAACAGCCCATAGGGCAGCAGTAAGGAAATTCCTTGTGTCTGCCCACAGGATTATTTGACAACTACCGGCTGGATGGCAATGGAGACAGGGATGTGAATTTCTCAGTGCTGTACACAGATAAAGACAGTCAGGTAAGCATTAGCTTCCTGATGTGATTAATATTGTAATATTGTCAATGACACTGTCATTATTATATTTTGAGTACATTGATTTTTTTTTCTTTTGCAGTGAAAAACATCACTGTAAATGCACAATGTCTGAACCATAATATCATTAGCTATATAATTAAAACCAAATGAAAATAATCTTTATGACTGTTGTTAATGCATAGTAGGGCCCTGTGTACTGCAGCATCACAATCTTACTGCAAGTGTTTCCTCCCCTCCAGTTTAAACCTCTGTTTGAGTTTGACACCGCCACAAACCTGATCACAGTCATAGACACCAAGCCATCCTTTCTCTGGTCTGACTCCAGGCTGCCCACTGACCGTAACCCTCCTAAGAAAACAGACGGTACAGTACCAATTTACAGACTACAGCTCCTCCCTCTTCAGCCTTCAGTGCTAATCGCCGTTATTGTTACCATCATGGTTTTTGTCACCGTAGTTACTGTAGTTATAGTTGTTGTCTGTGCTGCCATTTTTACTGTTGTTATTGTATTTGTTGCTGTCGTTATTATAGTTGTTGTTGTACTTATTGTTGGCACTATCATAGTTGTTGGTATTTCTGTTCTTATTGCAGCAGTAGTTGTTGTGTTGTTTTTGTAGTGGTTGTTGTCATTATTTGGCTTGGCTTTGGCTTTGGCTTGCTCTGAGGGGATATCAGGCCTGGAATGCTGATGTAAAGCTGCTTTGTGACAACTCATGTTATAAAAAGCACTATATAAATAAACTGAAATTATCATAATTACATTGTCATTATTGGCATTTACCAGATGCTCTTATCCAGATCGACATACATAGGTTAGAATTTTTACATGTTATCCATTTATGTGGCTGGATATTTACTGAGGCAGTTCTGGGTTAGGTACCTTGCCCAAGGGATTGAACCAGCAACCTTTCAGTTACAAGCCCTGCTCCTTACCGCTATGCTACACTGCCACCCAGTGTAGCATAGTTATTGGTGTTGGTGTTCTCAGTGTAGCTGTAGTCGTTGTTGCTGGCGTTTCCGTAGTTGTTCATAATGGAGTGAGAGGGTGAAAGTCATGGCAGTCTGTGTGTATTTGCAGATCCGCTGCAGGACCGTGACATCATCGTCATCGTGCTGGGCATCACTGTGGTGGTGGTGGCTTCCATTGCCTTCATCTTCTACCGGTGAGGAAGACTGGGTTTCAGTTCTCTGTCTCAGCTCTCATCTCTCTACGCACATCTCTCTCCCAATTCATATTCTCTTTTTTTTGTCAGATCATAAGGAAATGTGTCAGTTGTTTGCCAATCTGGTCAAGAATCGGCTCTGTCTCAGGACTCGTTACGTTGTGATGCCTTGCATAAGCCTGCATTCACTTAGCTAACCCTGTGCGTGGCCAACAGGCAGAACAGACAGAACAGGAAACAGCGCAAGATCGATAAGGGATGGTCCCACATCCACCCAGACATGATCACCCCGATGGAACCCAGCGAGCGAAGTCTGGTCTCCTTAAAGGTGAAGCCCCACTGCTCACGCCTCCTCTCTTCCCACCCCAGCAGCCGTTCCACTGCCTCTCTCCTCTCATTACATTACATTGCTGTCATTTAGCAGATGCTCTTATCCAGAGCGACTTACATATGTTACAGTTTTTATATGTTATCCATTCATACAGCTGGATATTTACTGAGGCAATTGTGGAATAAGTACCTGGCCCAAGGGTACAGCAGCAGTTCCACAGAGGGGAGTTGAACCAGCAGCCTTTTGGTTATGAGCCCCATGCCTTACCTCTATGCTACACCGCAGCACCTCTCATCCACAGACCCTTTACATTATTGTCACATGCACAGCAAAGGCTACAAAAGTCCCCTGATCTTGAAGGTCTTGATCCACTTCTTACCCGGTTTACCAGCGTTTGAGCCAAACTGCAGAAGGCCCCGCTCAAGCAGCACGTTCAGAATGTGCGGAGGAAGTCTGTGGATATGTGGATGAAACCCCGTCTGCAGGGTCCTTCCTTTAACGCTCATCCCTTTTCTGTCTCCTTCCGTCCATTAGATCGATGAAGACCACAGGAAGGACAGGAGCGACCGAATCCGGCGTGGGCGCTATGACAAAAAGGTGCCTCCGACATCTTAATTCACATCCGTGCCCTGTCCTGTCTTCTAACATGTTCCCACCAACCTGTGCTCCTTCACAGTGTGTGTTTGCATTCTGTCAGACCTGATGTCACGGCGGCCTGCTTCAGTAGATAGCGCCCTGTGCTGGGGAGCCCTCAGCAGAGAATACAGTTACAAGAACGAGCTGTATGGCATGGTCACAGATATTACATTTATTATGGCCAGATACTAGTGTGTGTCTTGTGTTGTCAGTTCTGTCTCTGCCTTTGTCGAAGCTACATGTGTTCTGATTTGCTGCGTTGTTGTGTACATTCTTGAAAGGGTGAGGTTAAAAACAGAACATCCATAGCCGGCACAGGAATGCAGACAGCACCAGAAACTCCAAGATGGGAAGAAGGCTGGAGCTGATTATGTGGTCATAAAAATGTGTATGTGTGGTCGTAATGTATGTGGTCATAATCGAAAGTTAGTAGCAGGATGGACTGATGCAGTGACCACTGTTTCAGATTGTGATCCTGAAGGAGCTGAAGCATTCAGATGGCTACTTCACTGAGCGTCAGAGAATTGAGCTGAACGAGGTGAGGGCCGAATCTGAGTGTGTTTCTTTGCATCTTTGTCATCGTCACCTACAGTCTCTATGTATCTCCCCCACTCTGTCTTGCTCTCTCTTTCTGTATCTCACTGTCTGTGTGCTTCTCTGTCTGGCTCGCTGTCCCTCTCACACACACCCTCTCACTCTGTCTGTCTCTCTCAAGCTCACTGCCTTGTTCTTTGTCCCGCTCAGCTCCTGCATATCGACTACTACAACCTGACCAAGTTCTATGGCACGGTGAAATTTGAGCAGGGTGTGTTTGGAGTGTTTGAGTACTGCGAAAGAGGATCCCTCAGGGTAAGATAACACACATACATGCACACACACACATACACACACACACAAACACACACACATACACACACACACACATACGCATATGTACACACAAACACACACATGCCTATGCACAAACACACACACACACATGCACACACACACACACACACACACACACACACACACACACACACACACGTACACACACACATACACATGCACACACACACACACACACACACACACACACACACACATACACACATGCACACACACATACACATATGTACACACAAACACACACATGCCTATGCACACACACACACACACTCACACACACGCACTCAAACTCTTTGCTTTCCTTACTCTGCAGTATGTGCTGAATGACAAAATCTCCTACCCAGAGGAAACTTTCATGGACTGGGAGTTCAAGATCTCTGTCATGTATGACATTGCCAAGGTCAGTTGCATCTTTACCGGCAATGTGTGTGTTTCTGTGTTTATGTGTGTACACTTAAATGTATTTTAAATCATAGATCATTACTGATAATAAAAAGGTAAACCTTAGCAGACTATGATTGAACCAGTTGAACCACTCAAGTAATTACAGAAGTTACAAAAAGCTCCTGAATGAGCATCTGTTCTACAAAAAATGAATGCCGTTATGAAAATAATCTGTCCCCATTAGGGCATGTCCTACCTCCACTCCAGCAACATCGAGGTCCACGGCCGTCTGAAATCTACCAACTGTGTGTTGGATAACCGCATGGTGGTCAAAATCACGGACTTTGGGTTCAATACCATCCTGTGCCCAGGGAAAGGTGAGACCCCGCTGTCTCCTCTTCCGTTTCCCACCAAAGGAGAGAGTATGGGCCAGTGCTGCATGCTCACAATGACACCATGACTGAAACGAGGATTAGGATGTGTGTGTGTGTGTGTGTGTGTGTGTGTGTGTGTGTGTGTGTGTGTGTGTGTGTGTGTGTGTGTTCAGAAGAGACCTATGCCACGCTGCATCCTGCAATAAACAGAAAAATGTAATGACTGATATTTTGGGCAAAAAGACCAGAGTAAGAATAAGAGAGAGTTGATTCTCTTATCAAAATCCATACATTTATAACTGAATCATTTAGCAATGAGTAAATTCAATGTAGGATTTTACAAGACTTAGCAATCTGTCAGTAGTCCTGTATGATGGCCATGTCACAACATTCAGTGATTTTGCTGTGCTAATTTGGACAGAATTATATATCAATGAAGTTGCACCTTACAGAGATATACAACTGCCAATCAGTTACTGAGTGAACCCTAATTACCGTATGAAAATAAAGCTTCTGGAATTGTGCATTCCCCCATTTTTTTCCCTGTCCTCCATCCTTTCCCTCCCACTTTTCTCGCCCTCTTCTCAGATGTGTGGACAGCCCCAGAGCATCTTCGCAAGGAGGGCATCTCCCAGAAGGGCGACGTCTACAGCTTTGCCATCATTGCTCAAGAGATCGTCCTGAGAAAGTGCCCCTTCTACACAGAGCGCTGCTCTGATAGAGCAGGTGAGGCCAGTGAAAGGGAACACTCCCCTGCACACTCTCTCCAGCTACTGTCCCTACTGTTCCCCAGCGAGACTGTGGCATTGGCTCTATGTGTGTGAAGCATATGGGGCCGTATAATGCGAAATTCAACAAGGATCTGACATTTCTCCTCACGCCGATTGAGTACAGAGCTTGATCTGCACTCCATTCAATGAAGTCATTGAATTTTTACTGCTCAGAAACACAGTATGGACAGTCAAACTGTGACCCCTGTTGGTGAACAGCAGCACTTGCAGCCCAAAATTCGTTACTGCATGTCCAGCTCACACACGCATGCATTTTTATAATCCATAACTGACCAAACCTGATCATAGTAGACATAAATATTTGCATATTGTGAATTTTTAAATAAAAGGATTGTTGGAAATTCATCTCTGATACGACCAAGCAATAGTCACCTCATGATGCTGAATATCAGCCGTATTAGCCAAATATTGCTGTTGCATTATAATGTATCGATTCATTCTTTTTTAATGTATTGATCCATCATTTTTGGTGCAAGTATCAAAGAACTATGTCTTGAAACGTGCTAATTTGCAATGCAGTGATGCAGTCAGTGACTTTGTTAGAGCGATGCCCCATTCAGTCCATGAATTACTTTATTTACTTTTGTTTGGTTGAATTTATAGATGACTGGGCTGAACAGCTGTTCACCTAAAACCAAAGAGAATTATTCTGTGTCTGTTTGTCCCATGAACTTTTCTCTGATTTCACAATACAGCAACACAAATATCCAAACTAATCACATCAGACATTTAGTCCTATTTCAGCCAGTTTTAATTACATTCACCAGTTAAGCAAATATATAACAATTTTTATTTCATATTAGCCTTTATACCTTAATAATTGGTTGTGATAAACTCTGCAAAAAAGATAAATTTCAAGAAGTCCAAACAGAGGCTTATACTGCACCAGTATAACTGGATAATAGCAACTGGATAATTGTCACATTGTTTTCCAGTTGTCCATCTCCTTACACGAGACTCTTTTTCTCTGCTCCTACTCTCTCTGACTTCTACAGAGAAGATGCACAGAGTGCAGTACCCAACCTCCAGCACTTTCTTCAGACCTGACCTTAACTTCACGTCCGCTGGAGAGAAACAGCTGGAGGTATGAGAGTCTGCCCTGTCATTTCTACCCAACCAGACTGCTCTCCTAGTTCAGGGAGAGCTTTTGCAACCCCCCAATGCATCATCATTAAGAGGTTAAAGTTCAAGAGCCAAGTAGCTGTCCTGATACACAAATACCCAGGATTGATTACATTGTGTCGATACATTACAGATACATTTTGTGCATTGCATTTCCCTGGGTGGCTTCCAGAGAAAGCTGAAAACTCATCTTTTCAAGCTGTATCTCAAGCGCACCTTCCCCTCTATCTATCTCTACCTATCCTATCTATCCCTCAGCATTTTACTGATCTCTTGTAATACTTCTTGATAACTATTCTTACCAGTGATACACTCATTTGGAAGTTGCTCTGTGTAAGAGCATCTGCTAAATGAAGTAATGTAATGTAATGCATCTTTTAACATGTCTGTAACATTTACAATGCACTGAGTATCTAATCATCATGTGTGTGCAGTGTGTGTCTAACCTATACATGCTGTGTGTCTCTGTCCGTTGGTCTCAGGTGTACACACTCATCAGAAGCTGCTGGGATGAGGACCCAGAGAAGAGGCCTGACTTTAAGAAAATTGAGAGCTTCCTGGGAAAGATCTTCAGGTAGACTTACGTGTCAGTGTTAGTGCTTACCATAGAGCACAGTGTTTTTTTCAGAGGGAATAGAAAAACCAGACAACTCAGGGCCAAATAGGAAAGAAACTGGAAAATTATTCCCTGATCTGAAAAAGCAGTTGAGAGAGACACTTTATATGCACTGTATATTACTTATATTATTTTATCATGCATCCCATCACACACATCTGTAACCCCTGTCTTACCGAGGAGCTTATTCCTGAGTCAGGTTCTGTGTCCTTCAGTATAAATATGCTGAAAGAGTATTCTGCACATGTATGATCAAGGCAGTATGAAACGGTGCACTGTAAAGAGACCCTGCTGTGTTCCAGCAACCTGAGCAACCAGGCCAATGAGACCTACATGGACAACCTGATCCGCCGCCTACAGATGTACTCCCGCAACCTGGAGTACCTGGTGGAGGAGCGGACAGCGCTCTACAAGGCGGAGAGGGACCGGGCCGACCAGCTCAACTTCATGCTGCTGCCGGGGTGAGCGCG